GTCTTTAGTGAATGGATAGGCTGTATTCTCTGTGATGTCATCTGTCTTTAGTGAATGGATAGGCTGTATTCTCTGTGATGTCATCTGTCTTTAGTGAATGGATAGGCTGTATTCTCAGTGATGTCATCTGTCTTTAGTGAATGGATAGGCTGTATTCTCAGTGATATCACTGTTCCCAATCTGTAATGAATGGGGTAGTTTCTTCCATGGGGTTGTACTGTCGGTCTGAGTCTATTTGTCAGTACAGACATCTGTTGTGTAATGTGTTGTGTTACACAGATGTGTTTGTTTCTGTGTTTCTGATCAGCTCTGTGAATGTCCATCTGGTGAAGATAACTCATTCCAAGAATATTTTTCTGTGGACTGGGGAGCTCAGGGAACTGGGTAATAATGCAATCTGGATATCATATGTAATCACACAGTACATTGTTTCAGAACAATTCAATACAAGCCAATTCATAGTCACATCTGGACTCAGCCGCTTCTATAGAGTGACTTTGTTCTGTTTACATAAGCGGTTACGGCTTTGGAATACTCAGTGTATATACAATACATGTACAGTATACAATGGATGTTCTTTATGTGTACCTATACCCAAGACTTTTTTCAGTTTTGGATAGAGTGAGGAAGGATTACAACCTGTATTAGGTTTTGCTGCCGTCTAAGGCTTCATTGGAGAGATTCCTTCACTTCCTGTTCCGGCATAAAGGTTGTCCCCAGGACAGGAAGTTAGGGGAAATCTCTCTAACAGCAACACAAACAGAAGTTAAAGTAAAATACTTTAAGTAGGGGCATGCCTGTTTTTTATTCATGTCTGTTTTCCTGTTGCAATATTTTCCTCAATTCCTGTCCGGTAAAACGTTCAGGATGATAGAGTACAACTTAGCATCTGTAGATGAATAATTTCAGCTTCAGTCTCTGGGGCAAGACCTAGTACATCTGGGTACCAAAAAGGGAAGTGCAGGGTGTGTTTCTGATGCTAGCACGAAAAGTGTAGATTTTGCTAACTGACTTAGTGCACATGAGCATTTCATGAAGCATTTACAGGGAACATTGCTGTGGCATCAAGAATATTGTCTAACACTGCAGTGGGTTGTCGCTGCTGAGAAAGACGAATAGAATGCGGCCCGGTGCCACGTATACTTCTTCATCCAGTGCTCGCAGTATGAGGATTTCTGTAGCCACATGGCACAGGGGACACTAGTAGACCCAACGAGCCTGCACGGAAACCATGGATGTTGAAATCCTTTTTCTTTTCTGTGTCAATGGGATTTCCTTTTACTGAGGCAATGTATGAAGCCCCCCGTCTTAATCTGCCAAAGGCTCCCCCAGCAATTAAGGCCTGTGCCTCGCATGGAAACTGATGTAATGGTGTAACACAATACTAACTCATATTCAGAACTATTTTGACAGCTGAAATGGGATGACGTTATTCACCAGCCACGAGTTTCCAAAGCTCGCAGAGAGCCTGGCATCTCCATTAGCTAGAGTTGCCATGCTGAGTATTTAGACTGCAGAGAGGTATACCTTTTATTGGTAAACCGTGTGCAGGGTCGGTGCTAGATCCTGGCACTCCAGGAACATGCTTCTTCTCCTGTTCTGGATCTCCTCTGTACTAAGTGTTGTTTGGCTCTTTGTAGATCAAGTGCATGTATAGCCAAAATGTTTTTCTTGATTGTACAGTACAGGACAGTTATATTCAGAGATGACTGGGTAATATGCTGGTTTCATCAGGTGACTGGACACTGGCCAGGTCTGTGAGGTCCCTCATAAAACCCTATCCCACTCCAGAAAATCCTCAGGTTTCTTCTAGTGTATTTAGGTGATGGATGTCTCCTCTCTTCTGAGAGAGGTATGTGTAGTTGATGTCTTCAATCAGGTTTCTCTGGCTACACACAGCAATGGTGGCAATATAGCAGCATCTAGATTGGTACTCCATGGCAAAAGCTTTGGGGGTCCTACCTCTACCCCACTGGACTAAGAAGTGGGGCCGGCCTGTAATATAGCTTCAGGCACTGGATCCTACATGGGCGCCCACCCTGGCACGTAGTGCAGTGCAGCACGTTGGGTTAGATGCAAGGTGCTATACAGGTCCAGGGCATGGTGTATCCGCACTGGTGTGACCCTGTCCTTGAAGGGGGTAAGCTTTGGGGGTAAGCTTATCTGAAGTGAGTGAAGCCAAAAGTTTAGATTTTCATACCTTGTAATGAATATCCACACTGCAGGTGGTGAGTTTCTGCCCCTGGTATCTCCCCTCCCTTTCTCAGCTTAGAGGTCCCTTGTTGGTGCCCATGTTGCAGGCTCTCTATGCTAGCCCCTCCAGTGTCTCCTATGCCCTCATATGGCCTATTCCTCTATTGGTTTCCCCTGCTCCCCCACCTTCCCTTGCTGGCTTCTGCACGGTGGAGAAAGTGTTAAAACAAGTTTTCCGGTGCATGGAGTTGGGGAATTCTTTTTTTTCCCGCCATTCTGCCATGGTCAATTGTAGATTTGCCTGTGACTGACCATTACCTCTGTGATAGTGCTACAAAACTAATCAGACTGCACTGCTCTGACATGAGGAGTGGGCAGAGAGATGACTTGATCAATGTGCTTCTGCTTCTTCATTGTCCAATCAGCAGGCTGACTGGGGAATGCTCTTGAGCAAGCTTTGCTGCTGTTTATGCACTGAAGACTATGGGTTTGTGTGACAGGGATGCCTGAATCAAAAACCTGGCTAAACAGCACTACAAAACCTTTGGTAGGTGAAAGCGTTGCCAAAAATGTAAATGTCAGCTGTGTATTTAGTGTCTTGCCGGATGTTCAGCTTTGTGAAAGTTTCACACAGGCGCTTCATGCAACACTTCTCTCAAATAGGTCGATTTAATAAATCAGGTTCCTTTAAAAAAAGGATTATTCTTTGTTTGTGGACTAACTTTCTGAATGAGTTATGTTCACGATTTATTCTCCTCATCAGAATATTATACTGCTTGCTGTAAACCCATGACCTGATTAGGGCCCACTCCTTACACCCACCCACTCCCCAGAGGGTAACTGGAGCCTGATATCGCAGCACTCCCCCCATGACTCCCTCCCTCCTGCTCTGTCTTGTTCTGTAACTTTTACAGAGAACCTGAGCACATCCATAGAAACTGAAATAAAACAGATCATAGGACTCTTTAGATGCAGTCTACTCACTATTCGTATTTCGTACAAATCCGAATTGAGTTCAGTTACGAATAACTAAATACGAAATAACGGATATTCCGAAACGAAACAGAACAATTTTTTTGACGGCGCACAAGTCTAGAGTAAATCAGTTCATGTGCTGACAGGAGGAGAGAGCAGAGTGACAGAATAATGAGCTCATCAATGTGCTGTTTCTCCTTTCACTGTCCAGTCACAGGCTAAGGTGGGTCCAGGATGACCTGGGCTCAGAGGAAGTGAGATAAATGATAATGGCCATCAGATTGAGACTATTTTGTAGTAACTACGTAACTATGTGATATGCATTTAATGTTATGTGTGTAATGTTAATTTATAATTCTGCAAATTAAAATCTAATTTCCCTTTTAGGAGGCACCATATATAAAGAAGAAAGTGGTCATAGAGCAATTATTGTGCATCCGTGGAAAGCCAAACCTTAACTGGAAGATGAGGATCTAACAAGCAGTGAGGTATGTAATTGCAAGAGCATAACTGTAACCACAGCAGACCATGTGACTGCTATGGGGCCCAAAAGCACAGGGGGGGGGGGCGCAGAGCTGTCTGAATGCACAGCAATATACTGTATGTAGGTTGCAGCAGCAACTGACAAATATGACAAATGACTTCAATGGGAACCTCCATACAATTACTATGCCAGCGATAAGTGATCTGTATCACTAGAGGAATCATTAGTGGGGAAGGCTTCAGAAGGTTCATTAAGAAATGCAATGTAACAGAAATATTGTTACATTGTATTTAGTGTTACATTAATGTGTAGATCAAGGGGTGACCTTTGATCTGCATATGACATCAGTAAAAGCAACATTGCAATTAAAAAACATACATAAAATGTGTTGCTATTTAATCCCTTATTAACTCTAAGAATGTAAAAAAGGTATTACCCTTACAGTGGAGCTACACCCGCACTGCAAGAGTTAAGTGCTCATTTTGCAAAGGGGGCTCAAATAAAGAAGATATACTTACCTAATTCTCGGTGCTGCCGGGCTGCTAGATCGGTTCCCCGCAGCCTCCTCTTCCTTGGGCTCCGGCAGACTGAGGACCACTGGTGTCAACACGTCTTATGCAGGTTCATTGACTTGAAATAAACGTGAGGGACATTCCATAGCCAGAGCGGAGGGGCTGACCACTGCAGGACTGAGGATCAGGTGAGTAATACAGCTTTATTTAAGCCCTCTAGACAAAACAAGCACTTAACTCTTGCAGTGCGGGAGGGTCTGTTTTTTAAATTCCTGAGTTCCTCTTTAAGCTGCTCAAAACACTGCAAAGTGTTCATAAAGTACATGCATAAACACTAATCTAGGCTGGGCTTTTAGAAATGATTCCGCTTTGAACAGAAATTTATCCTGTGACTGATTTTAACTCAGCAGCTGTTCATAAAAATGCTGCCTGTACTGTCTGGTAGCCATTAGTGGACTATTCTCCACATCTGTGTACAATCAAGAAAATAGGACTAAGAAAACACATCAAATTGAACATTTATAATCAGTCATTACTAGGAAGACTTGCTGAAACTGTGTAATAGTTTCCCTTTAAGTGCGGTGAGGGGAGGTGATGTTTGTTGGTGATTAGAGGAAGAGGCAGGGCGGATAACAGTTTAATCATGATGAGGGTCTCTCAATGTCTGCCGGTGGATATATTAGCAGCATCTAGTTCTACACAGAGGAGGAATATAGCTGCCATTTAATCTCTGTGTTTACATCACGGTTAAACAATGATGATGAACACCAATGTGCAGTACATGGTCCCGGGCACTGTGCCACACGCTCTGCGCTGAATTTCTGCACCGCGTCTCATTGGGGTCTCCATTTAACCAATGATGATGAACATCAATGTGCAGTACATGCTCCCGGCAATATTGGTCCTGGGCACTGTGCCACACGCTCTGCGCTGAATTTCTGCACAGTGTCTCATTGGGGTCTCCATTTAACCAATGATGATGAACACCAATGTGCAGTACAGGGTCTCGGGCACTGTGCCACTCGCTCTGCACTGAATTTCTGCACCACGTCTCATTAAGGTCTTCCTTTAAACAATGATGATGAACACCAATGTGCAGTACCTGGTCTCGGGCACCATGCCACTCGCTCTGCACTGAATTTCTGCACCACGTCTCATTAAGGTCTTCCTTTAAACAATGATGATGAACACCAATGTGCAGTACATGGTTTCGGGCACCATGCCACTCGCTCTGCACTGAATTTCTGCACAGCGTCTCATTAGGGTCTTCCTTTAAACAATGATGATGAACACCAATGTGCAGTACATGGTCTCGGGCATCATGCCACTCGCTCTGCGCTGAATTTCTGCACCGCGTCTCATTAGGGTCTTCCTTTAAACAATGATGATGAACACCAATGTGCAGTACATGGTCCCGGCCATATTGGTTCCAGGCACCGTGCCATGCGCTCTGTGCTGAATTTCTGCACAGCGTCTCATTAGGGTCTTCATTTAAACACTGATGATGTGCAGTACATGGTCTCGGGCACCGTGCCACGCGCTCTGCACTGAATGTCTGCACCGCGTCTCATTAGGGTCTTCATTTAAACAATCCCGAATCATAAATCGCCGGCTGATTTATACAACAGAGCTTGGAGTAACATTTATAGGTAAATCTGACGACATTTTGGGAATACAATCAAAAAATGAAAAAGGTAAAAGCTGAACTCCTGGCAAACAGCTGAATACACGTATAATGTCCCTGTTTTACCTGCCAAAAGATTTGTTTTTCTATCCATCCCATTGTAAGATTCATAAAGCTCTGTCTGGCATAGCAGGAGAACTGATTTTTCTCTGCCACACTTCACTAAGCCTTACAGGTCTCCTCTCCACCCCCACCCTGTGACTGGACAGTGAAAGGAGAAGCAGAAGACTGATGAGCTCATCTCTCTGTCACTCAGCTCTCTCCTTGTACATACATGCTCATTGCACAGCTAGTAGGTGCCTTGTGCTGCTTTTTCTTCCTGCACTTAGCTCTGCTGTACAGGGACCACAAGAGGCTGATACCAAATCAAAATTAGGCCCCTACCCAGCTTGTATTTATTCAGGGTGGATCCATAGAATCTGAGCTTCATCTGTAAATCCCAAATTCCAACATCTGCATGGCATAGCACAAAACCAGACGTCACCCAGTTTTGGTGATCTAGTGCCCACTATGGCCTAATTTTCCTGGTCTTAGTGGACCTTAGTGGAGCCCGGTGTAATATTAAGCTGCTGTACACAGTCCACTCATTCCATTTTTGCTGATAGAATCGCCCCCCTCGCTGGGCCGAAATCCTGCAGAGTCTCACTTCTGAGCCAGCAACATGATGATCCTTGAACCTAAATACCTGAAATCTTTCTCTGAAAAAAATAATATTGGTGAGTTGATCAGCATCTGACCAGTATGACCTTAGAATGAGATGAGGTCATTAGATTGTAAGCTTAGCAGCGGATCATGTGCCAGTATTATATAAATCATGGCCTGTGCAGTTCTTGGCTGTGTTCACAAATGTCTGATGCAGGTCAGCCCCTCCTGCAGCGTCTCAATTTGTGACTTAGCAGGTGAGAGTAGACTAGTGACATCATTTTACAAAGTCACTGGAGCTCAAGGCCTGTTTTTTAATGATAAAAAGTACAGCTTTTCTGAAAACAATAATACTGTTGCTGTACATTGTGCTATGTCAGGAATTTATGTATGTAAAGTTATTGAAAGGTCCACTTTAGGTGCGCAAATGTAACTTTGACTGTGTAATAAATACAGCGAACATTACTGGGACTTGGAATTTCCATTGATGAACAGTAAGTACCTGGGGTTGGCTGTTCAGCAGGGCAATGTGTATTTGAACCCTTTCGCTGCCACTCATATATGTTATACGTTGGCAGCATCACAGGCTTGTACGCAAACCACTGCCAACTATTGGCTTTCTAATGGAAGTGATTTGGGCAGCTGCAAAGCCGCCTGATCATTTCCACATGTGTGGAAACATGGCGCATCCCGTATCTCCCCCCCCCCCCCCCCCCCCCACGACCCCTCTTCCAGCCGCGGGCGGGGT